TAATAAAAATCCCGGGACGCCTCTGGACTTAAGGATATCAATAATGTGTACAATTTTCCGAACATTGTCACTAGCCTGTCGCCTCGGGATAAATCCCACCTGATCTCCATGTACAAGCGTGGGTAGAAAGGTGTTAATACGAGTGGCCAAGATTTTCATTAGTAATTTTATGTCAATATTTAAAAGCGATATCGGGCGGTAGTTGCTAGGATCTAAAGCAGTGGTTCTCAACCTGTGGGTCGGGACCCCCTCGGGGGTCGAATTACGATTTGCCAGGGGTCGCCTAGTGGCTCTCGGCCGCCGGGAGAGAAACACTTTCTCCCGGAAAGGTTGGGACCTTTCTCTGCTCTTTTTTTTTTTTTTTTTTTTAAATCGGGGGCCGCCGTAAGTTAGAAAAAAAAACCACCATAGGAATACATAGCTAGATTCCTATTGGCTATTTCACTTTGCAAAAGCCAATAGCAAACTATCTATTGCACCCGTCCTCTGCTGCTGCCAATCAGCAGAGGGGGACCTGAAGTTCTCCATCAGGTCCCCTTCTAGTGATTGACAGCAGCAGAGGGCGGGTGCAATATGTAGGTATTCAAGCAAAAAAATATGCATTCCATTTTCCCGGTCCGCAGCTGCAGAGATCGGGAAATGTCTCAGTGCCTGTGATTGGCGCTGTCAGCTTCCTGGTGGGCTCGGCACGTGGAGCTGCGAACACGCCCGAGCCCATCCCTATCAGTGACAGTACTGCGGAGTATGTACCTCATATGTTATATAGCCACACACTTTAAATCCAATTCTTCTTTTTTTTTTTAAATAAATTCTTTATTGAACAGTTACGTAACATATCAGCAGACAAGGGCTAAATCCAATTCTTCTAGTTGCAGCTGCAGAGCCCGGTCCTGTCTTTGCCTATAGCAGTGGTTCTCAACCTGTGGGTCGCTGTGCTAGGCGAGAGTCCTCCTCAGCTCTCTCCTAGCGCAGCAGTGTCAGTTCTCCTGCCACGCCTCCAGATGTCGCTGCAGCAGCCGCGTCATCCCTAAATTTTTAAATTTTTGGGGGTCACCACAACTTGGCAAATGTTACCAAGGGGTCCCGGCCCTAGAAAGGTTGAGAACCACTGATCTAAAGGGTCCTTATCAGGTTTCGGGACCATGGCAATATATGCCAGGAGCGAGGACGAATGCAGTTCCAGGTTATTTTTAAGCGAGTTATATAAAGTCGTCAATCTGGGGGGCAGAATGGGGGCTAGTTTCTTATAATAGAGGTCCGAAAAGCCATCCGGACCCGGTGCTTTTGAGAGTTTCAGTTGTTTGATTGCGGTAAGGACTTCCTCTTCCTGAACATCAGAATTCAAGAGTTCTAAATTGTCTCGAGAAATCTGAGGGAGAGTGATATTAGTAAAGAGTTCCTCAGCAGTGGAGTTCCGGAAGGCTTGTTGGCTTCCATAGAGGGCTTTCAAGTTGTCCATAAAGAGGTCTAAGATTTTAACTGGGTTGGCCGTCACATTACCTTGGGAGTTTCGTAGGCGGATTGGGGCCGCATGGGAAGGTAGCGTATTTAGTTTCCTCGCTAACAAGGAACCAGGTTTGTTAGCTCTGGAATAGAACTTGTGTTTGGACCACCGCAGGTGTTTTTTCGACTGCTGGTCCAGCATCAAGTTCAACTCGGTTCTCACAGAGGACAGCTGAGCATATGTTTTACGGTCATATTTATTTTTCAGGGTGCGGTCAAGGTGCACCAGGCTCTCCTGTAGAGCATCAATTTTCCGCAACCTTTCTCGCTTTCTGCGAGTAGCTAGCTCGATCAGATGTCCTCTCATGGTAACCTTATGAGCTTCCCATAAACTCACAGGGGAGGCGACTGAACCCTCGTTAACTTCAAAGTATTGGCGAGCACAGCTCTCAATGTACGGCAAATTGTCAATAGTCGAGAGAAGGGAGTCATTGATTCGCCAGTGGCTTTGTCTAGGTCTACTACCTTCTAGATCAAATTGTATTAAGTTGGGGGCATGATCTGACCAAGGGGTAGCCTTAATGGTCGCTTTAGAGAAAGAAGGTAGAGATTGTTGATTAGTAAAGATATGATCTATTCTACTGTGAATTTGGTGGGGATTAGAGAAAAAGGTGTAATCTTTTGTCGTGGGGTTCAGTTCCCTCCACACATCCACTAGGCGATTATAACTTAACATGTTTGAGAGTAGGAGATTATCTGAGCTCGGGGACCTGCCCGAAGGCAGGGCTCCGGCTTTCATCGTCTTGTCGTGGTCGGGGTCAGTCACTAAATTGGTGTCCCCTGCTAGTAAAAGTAGTCCCTTGGCGTGGCATTTAATTACTTGAAATAAGTGGGAAAGAAACCGAAGTTGGTGAGTGTGAGGAGTATAATAAGAAACAATGGTGACGTCAACATCTAGTATTGTCCCTAGGAGGATAATGTAACGACCTGATTGGTCCTCTATCTGTGTATCACAAATAAAGGGGAATGATTTACGAAAAGCAATCATCACTCCACGTTTCTTTTCGGTGAAGTTTGCACAATAGACCTGGTATAGTGTTTGTGTAAATATTTTGGGTAGGAATCAGTGGCAAACTTAGTCTCCTGTAGGCATACTATGTCAGCGTGACAAGAGGAGTAGTAATTAAATGCTTTATGGCGTTTAGAGGGAGAGTTTAGACCTTGTACATTGTGGGAGATCAGGGTGAATTTAGTCGCCATCATTTACCTTGCCTGGGCGCGCAGATAATGTATCAACCTCATACCATTCAGGAGACGTGGTCAGGGATGAGCCAGGAGCCGGTGCAGCGGTCTCGGGAGGACAACAGGTTGCAGGGGGTAAAACTTGAACTTTAAAACAAAGGGCATTCATATTTTTTGCCCCCTTTCCCGACCTAACCTAACCCAACCCACTCTACACCCTCCCACCATCCTGTGAATTAGAGGACTTCTATAGCTCAAGGCTAGAGAGGATCTCTCTCACCTCACCAAGACAGTAAGTACAGTAAGAGAAAATCTTCAATGAGGACAGCAAAAAAAAAAAAAATTGCAGATAGAGGTTCTAGCCTTCCCCTACTCTACTAAGAAAGTGCTTTATTGTTGCCTGTTAGAGATGTTCACTCACTTCTTTACCGATGCCAACCTCTTCAACGGGACGCAATTTAAAGGAAAATCGCCCCAATGAGACCTCAGACAGCAATAAAACACTAGAGGAGTTCTAAACCTCCCCTACCTTATAAAAAAAAAAAGTTTTGACTGGAGATAGGATTTTAATAAGGGCAGAGTATATTTAATGGACTATCATTCCGATAACAAACAGAAAAGGGGACTATAGTCTTAATTGTAATTATAAGATCATCTTAATGTAAACAAGCTTTTGAATGCATGTATTAAAGTATTAAAAGCATTGTTTCTAGGTATGGTTTATGGTAACCATTTATGTATATGGGGCAGTCATACAGACTCTTATTTCACTGCTTTTTGAAAACTATAGACTCTCTGCAGTAATGATTGGTAGCCAAAGACCATGTGATCCTGGTTGCATTTGCAGAGAGGAGGGAAACCACAATTTTACATGGACAAATAATAATTTGATACGGTAATACCAATACGTGCTTTATTGGTTAACATGGACTTGGTTTTTATCACCATATTTTGTAAAATGGTTCTGTATTTAATGTATATAGTAATAATGCAATTTTAAAGGGTAAAGGCAGCAGAAAATAGAATGGCGATCATTTCTTCTGTCTTACCCTTTAAAGTCCCACTTGGCGCACCACAAAAAAAACATACTTGCATTGCAATGGGCCCTCCCCGTAATGCAAGGCAGAGGCAAAGCTAGACATTCCATCACGTGTGGCAAAGATTTAAAGTTGTCTGTCTCATCTGCCCTGGCTCCATGTCCTCTCTGTGTTACTCCCCCGGCTGCTCTCTGCACCGCTCCTAGGCCCCCCCCTTCCCGGGCGCCCTCAGGTGAAGTGCCGGCCCAGGCAGTGCCTGTAGAGCAGCAGTGGAGGGCAGGAATGGCGTGGCGGAGGCAGCGGTGCCCGTAATAAGAATTTTGTCCTTCTGGATCTGATACTAGCCCTGCCTCCTGATGCATACAGTGCAGGACCAAAAGTCCTGGATTGTACGTGAGGATGGCAAGAGTCCACCCTCAACATGGAGTATCAGAGAGAAGAGATGAGCACTGCAAGCCTGCTGGATGGAAAAATAAGGTAAGTATTACAACTTAATTAGCAAATAACAAATGCAGTGCAGGGGGGGCCCACTGCAAGGGTTATTTTTTTTTTAAGCTCAGTCTTAATTTAATGTGTTAAACAGACCACTGGCTGGCGACCGCTCCTCTAGCCTGTCTCTTCCTCCACTGAACCACAATGGAATGTCTGTCTGCGTCCTTACATCCTATCCACAGTATATTGGATGTGATGACTCATGGACCGTAGACAGCAGGAGCAGAGGGTGAGTGAGGCTAGTAGAATCAGTTTAACAGCCAGCCAGCTGCGAGGATCAGCTGAGTATAAAAAAAATTATTTTTGCACCTAGACCAAAACGAGCATCATCGAGTGGATATCCCCACTGCAAGGGTTGAGAAATGTTTTGCCTGGAGTTCTTTAAGGTAAGAACTAGGAGGACTAATTACTCATGTGAATTTCAGACTTTTTATTACAGCTCTGAATTTCTGACATGAATAACAGGTATTGTTTGCACTTATGTGAACAGATATAAGAAATCACTTTCACTGGTATATTTCACAGACCGAAAGGTAGCAAATAAGACAACTTCATTGCTGGGCATTAAATCAGTTAGAGGATGAAAACACAACTGCATTTAGTTCACCTTGAAATCTGTTTAGGTTGTAAACTCCTGGTACTCTGCTAGGTGCGGTTTTGTTAACAATGTATGTATGTTTTCAGTTTAAACATTTTAAAATGTTACAGAATACGATGTCACAATAAAATTAAAAACACAAAATATAGTAATAATCATAATTTATTCCACATAGCTTGGCAATGTACCTGAACAAACAAGATGGCTTTGGAAGTATCCTGGTCCACATGATGATACACACTGTCCTCCCTTCAGCAACAGAGATCCGGTACAGGCTGTGCACTCAAATCCATTGCTACAGCTGGAACATGTATCTTTACAAGCTATTATCACAAGTAAACATAAATAAAAATTACAATCACTAGAGTAATATACTGCAATAAATAGATCAATTGTGCAGAAAAGGCATTAAGCATGAAGGGACCTTATTTCTTAAGGACAGAATGTATACGTATGCATAATGCAGATCGAGGTCGTACCTAAGCTTAAAGAATTAACAATGACCCATGCTTTGTCAAGTATTTCAAGTTTAACCTCTTCCCAACCACAATATATATATAATAATGTTTCTCTGCATGATGCACTGTGCTGCGGCTGCGGGTATGTTAATAAACATCCTTTTAACAGCTACCAGGCAACACTTTGCGCAGCTACTTGCTATCAAACCTAGTGGTCACTGACAGCTTTGTTCCCCACTAACAATCCAGAACCAATCAGAGTGGCTTCCGCTCATGTGACTACCATGTCAAATATGACACAGTAATCACATGCTAGCTAAAAACTTAATTCAGAAAAAAATAATACCAAATATACTAAAACACAGTCTCCTGCAGTTTGGGTGCTGTGGAAGAAAACTGTTTACTTTTCATTGCTCAACATTATGTGGATCTGTGTAAAAAATTTACTGTGGTTTATATGGACTTACTGTTTTAATTCTGACCAAATACACACTGCATCCTGTTCAGCACCATCAACAAACTGTCTGCGTCCAGGTGTGTGCATATGCACCTGTATCCGTATAAGTTCAGGTCAGCGTTTACCAGTGTGCAGCCGCATCCTGTCATTGAGTTGTACAGATGGCTGCAAACACCAGCTGGAACTCTCAAGCGCAGGTTTGTGCAAGGATGTGCACACTGTGAATGAGGCCTTAAGGTGCACATACACTGGCCGAATTTCGGCGATTTTTAATGTACTGGCCAAAATTCACACAGTTTGTGGGGCTGTCGGCTCCCTTTCAGCTAGCATTCCTCGATTAGCTGATCGAAGGAGCCGCCTGGAAAATCTTTGTAGGATCAGAGCGGCAGCCAATGAGCTGCCCGCTCTGATCCGGTATTCTGACAGGTGCTGGCAGCAATGCAAACATTGGCGATTCCTCGATCGACACGCTGTTTGTGTTGATGGAGGTTTGCAGCTATTTTTTTTTGTTCAGCCTCTGGGTTGAACGAAAAAAGAATGATAGGTGTACGGCCAGCCTTAGTAAAATTTAACTTTTTCTCTACATTTCTGTGTGTTGTGACAAATCTGGCCACGGGTGCCCATATTTGTCGATAATGCTGAACAGAATGCAGGATCAGAATTAAAACAGTAAGTCAGTATAAACCACAGTAAATGTTTTACACAGATTAGACGTTATGTTTGCAGCAATATCCACAAGATCCATATACTGTGGAACAATGAAAAATAAACAGATTTCTGCCACAGCAGCCCACCTGCGGGAGACTGTGTTTTTAGTATACTTGGTGCATCATTCTTAATGTAGAATCAAAATAAAACACATTTTGTTTGGTGCAGTAAGAGCGTGCATTACCCAGGCATGTTTTGCCATCTAGATAGAATCCAGGGTCACAGCTGTGCACGCAGCGACCCATCTGCAGAAAGAGAGCTTCATCATGGCACATGTCACAGTGGTCAGCAGACTGAGAGCAGGTTAAACAGTTTGGGCTACATGGCTCTGCAAAAGAAAAACAGTGGGCAATGGAAGAAAGATGTGCTGTGTGTCAAAGCATAATCTCTAGTACATAAATCCTAGCTATACATAGCACCATATTTACTGTATGTGACCTCATTTGTCAAAGTTGTCTAACCTAAACCTCACACAATAGCTATAACATTTTTATTTTTCATGAATGACAAAGGATTAGTTAGTAAAGACTTTTAATGTTTTAATTAAATTAAGCATGGTCGCAATCACTGGATCACAATTTCATTAAGAACAGTTTGGTTTAAGAGACCAGCATCCGTTTTATCAGAAATGATATAAACAACTGCTACAATTATTAGTATCAGGGATGCACCAATGCCATTTTTCCAGACCGAGTACGGGTTCTGATACTTTTTTTAAAGCACTCACTGATACTAATTACCAATACTTTTTTTAGTGTTGCGTGACAGTTTTTCCAAAACAATACAGACTAATGATTTTTAGGACAGTGGCGTAGCGCCAGGACCCAGTCGCAGCTGCAAATGCTGCGACCCTGGTAGTTCTACCACTGATTTCAAGCTGTGGAGGGACTTCAAATCCCAGCAATACATTATATAATCAATGGAAAATACCACCAGCTTGAGGACTACAAATCTCAGCAATACATTATACAGCAATGCAGAATGGCACCGGCTATAGAGGACTACAAATGCCAGCAATATATTATACAGCAAAGCAGAGAGACAAGGGCTATAGAGGATTACAAATCCCAGCAATACATTATACAGCAATTCAGAATAATACCATCAGTTACAGAGGACTACAAATCCCAGCAATACATTATACAGCAATGCAGAATACCATAATTTATAGAGGACTACGAATCCCAGCAATACAATATACAGCAATGTAGAGTGACACTGGCTATAGAGGACTAGAAATCCCAGAAACACGTTATACAGCAATGCACAATACCATCAGCTATAGAGGACTACAAATCCCAGCAATACATTACACAGCAATGCAGAATAATAGTATATTAATTTCCTTCATACTCTGTGCTGACACTCTGCTCTGGGGTGCTGACCTGATGTCTCGGGCAGGGGGTCTTAGGAGGGGTGCGGAGAGTCTCAGAAGCACTGTAAGCAGGCGCCGCACGGTTTCCAGTTTCAATGTAAAAATTGAAAGCACCGGTATTGGTTTTTAGCATCAGGGCATGTGAAAATGCCCAGTATCGGCACCGATACTGATATTGGTGCATCCCTAATTAGTATCATCATATTTACATTATAACAATTACATATGGGTTAGTTGGCCCTATACTATTTACTTAAGTATCCAAATTTGCTGTAACTTTGGAGTTCTAAGGTGTTCATGTTGTAGCATCAGTCAGTTGTTTCACAGGTGGATCCCTTGCTTGATCCCTGTTCTTTTGTGCAACCACCTTCGAACTCCCCAGAAGCTTGCCCTAGGTCTTTCTAGTTTGTATGTTTACATATGCTTGCACCCCCTTCCTGCTAGTTCTTGGATGCTGGATCTTGGATGCTGGACATGAATTGCTCTAAAGTCATGTCCAAAAAAACTATTTACACCTGCTCAGTGCATCTGAGAGTTGCTTGAGCAAAGAACTCTCTGAGTATCTCTCTTCAGGCACCTGAACCCAAGATCTCTTTTCCAGTTCTGATACCCGTTTACGACCTGAGCCTGTTTTTCGAAAATCCTTGTTGTTCGTCTGCTCTGAACTTTTAGCTCATTTGATCATGACCCTGCCTGATTTTGTACCATGCTTCATTTCATCAGCTGTTGTCAATCCAAGTGTAACTGAGGGCTGCAACCTGCATACACAGCAAAGCCCACCATCTCTAGTGGGGTGCACTCTTCAACACCAGGCAGTTCCTTAGACCCTCCACCCAGGGCCTCTTTAGGACCTATATTCGCCTGTCGACACAGAGGGTCCACTACATTTAATTATTTTTTACTTAAATACCTTTTAATTGCAATTATAAGATAGCATTCATGTAAGGTAAACACGTGTATATTACCAAACATACCTGGCTTGCATTCTGGACAGCACTGGCCTTCAACGTTCACTGCTAGAGTTCCAACAGGGCAAGTGGGACAAGACGGAGAAAAGCAGGTCACCTGACTATTCTGACACTCACATTCAGTGCATGGGCCTTCTTTCCACTTCTCTCCATTCTTCATTGAACAGGTGATTAGGAAAGGAAAGGCGAACAGAACAGATCAATCATTATATACACAAGCACCTACTTATCTGGTATACAGTATCGATCACTTTGAAAGAAATCAAGACAGCTTCCAAACTACAAAAATTTGCATTTTAGAACCCAAGTCAACTATTTGTCTTTTTACATGCATTACACACACAATAAATGAATATATATATATATACATATATATATATATACACACACACACATATACACACACACATTTATGTGCAGAAAATGGCATATAGACATGGATACATATTATAAAGCATTCTTTGTTTCCTTTTATATGGCTTATTTTGAAAGAGGCCTTATCACGGCATTGCATGTATGTGTTTTGAATAGTTAGGTCCTGTGAGCTTTATGTGAAAGTTTTGGCTGTATCTGTATCTGTGTGTATGTATACAATTTACAACAAAATTGTAAATTTAGGTACAGTGTATATATAATTCTCAAGTGGAAAACAGATATATCCCTTAATGTGAAACAGTAAGTCAGGGATATGTCAATGCATCAAGAACCTTGACATCAGTTTAACAGCTTCCATACATCAGCAGCCTCCAGACAGAATGGCTTATTTTGTTGTTCTTTATCGTGTCATTGGCTATACCCAGATTCCAGGTCATTTATTGTATGTAGTGTTCTAAGTCGTAATTCCTCTGGTGTAAGTTGGCAATAATTTCTGTACCTAATGATCTGCTTCTCATACAAAGTCAATATATTTATCTAGGCAGCACATAGACTTTACACACAGCTGTCTTTACAAAGGTGGTATAAATTCACACAATATGCAACGTAAATCTTTAGGTGTAGACTGTACAGTACTGTCACAAGTGCCATTCACATGAAACTGTAACTGTGAAATATCCCCTTCCTCAAACTTGTCTGTATCTAAATCTAAGCAGCATGATCAATCCCTTACATTTTGGATTTATATAAATGAGACATGCAGATGCATTGTGATTAAAAAATGGCTTCAGTGTTCTTCTCAGGGAAGAAACAATTAGGCAAGTTAAATTTTTTCTTAGCTAAGCCTGAGCCAGAAGTGTATTTGTGTTCTTACTAACCCATAGCCATAATAACCATGAAGGTTTGGTCAAATGTGAATCACAAAGATTTTTCGTTGGAGACTTTTTTGACTGTGATTGGTTTCAGTGGGTCGGCTAACCCTGAAAAATGCCAGTGTGACAAGATACTTTATGTCCTTCCCCTTACACACGCACTAAGCACCTGTCTTTCCTTTAATGAATAAACACATCAGAAGGTATCTGTTTTTACTAGGGCAGCGGAAATTACGGTTAATCCCTCGATAAATCGTTAATTTTTTTGATCGATCAAAATTATTTTGATTGGTACTCACCTCTCCGCCGGCTTCCGGGTCTTCGTCGGAGATCCGGTGACGTCACGGACATCGACGTCACCGGACATCGACGTCACCGGACTCCTCCCCCCTTCCCCGAGTGGCTCTGTCGGCTAACGAAGGGAAGGGGGGAGGAGTCCGGTGATGTAGTTGTCCGTGATGGGTAATGACGGGAAGGAGGGAGGAGTCCGGTGACGTCGATGTCCGTGACGTCACTGGACTCTTCCCTTCGTTACCTGATGGAATCACTTGGGCCGGTGAGTCTCTAACATATACTAATACTAACATATACTAATGGCAGTTCCCTGCAATAGAAGAGGTAATATACTCACCTCTCTGTTCAAGTGCTGCATCCTCTGTCAGTTTCTTCAGCTTTCAATCCTTCCAGGAATGTTGGATACCTGTATCCCTCACTACACACTGTGGTTTAATCCTCCAACCCCTACAGGACACAGTATTGATGTACGGGTCAGTGGATGGAACCACAGTGTACAGTGGGGTACAAATCCCATAAGTGTCAAATGCTAATGAGCATGATGGAGGCTGCAGTGCTTGGAAGGAGACAAGGCCACTGTATAGATGAGTATATTACCTCTTCTATAGCAGGAAACTGCTAATAAGATTTTTATTTTTTTTAGGGTGACTGACGGGGTCAATTGTAAACTTAAACAGTGCAAATTACAATGCAATAATGATTGATTGGACAATATTTTTTTTTTCTTTTTTTTCTACAAGTGCATTTACTTCCCAGTCAGCATCCCATTCATTTGTGGATACTGGACAAGCACTTTTATTCCAGCTTAGAGATCCATTTTGTGTGGTTTTACAAGAAATCAGAATGCGCCCTATTACCTAAAAGTAGTTGGATCAGTATGTGCGTTATAATTAATCAAAATTAGTCGATAAATCGATTTTAAAAAAATTCGATTTTACATATCATATAGCATGCACTTTCTGCTAATCATGCAAATGTCAAGAAAATTGATTTGTACTCAGCATTAAAATAACACCTCTATTAGACATATAATGAGTTTGTGTACTTTGGTGTTTCTAATGGTCCCATTTGCTCTATGCTATTTAACTAAATGTTAATTAACTCTCCTTCCCTCGCTGCCTAAAACACTTCGTGACTGTCAAGAGGCGAGGCGAAAAGCTTGTTAAATAAAGGAGAAAAGCCTTCTAAACATAATTATCTCAAAAAGCGCTAAGAAAAAGAACATAACAGTATTAACTTCAACATGGGCCTCATTTTTTTCACATCACTGATAAGGGCAAGTGTCATGTGTCTTAAAAAGGGCTTTAATTGGTCTTGCAAATTTCTACAGACATACTGCTCAAGTCGATGGCGGAATAAACTTAAGATGCTTGTGCGCCAGACAGAATAAGATGCTACCAAAAGTCTGCTCATTCAGAAAACTGCTCATTCAGAGGTCCGATATTGTTCTATGTACAATCCTTGTTTTATTGATTGCATGTAATAATCTACTTTTTTGAAGTTGTGGATTTGGGGTTCTTGTGGTTTTCATGAGCTGTAAGCCATAATCATCACAAGTATGACAAATCACGGCTTGAATTATCTTGCTTTGCATGTAATGAGTCTACCTCATATATTAGTTTCACCTTTTAAGTTGCATTAGTGAAATAAATGAACTTTGCACGATATTCTAATTATTCGAGTTTCACCTGTATATATAAAAAATCAATACATTCATGTTTCAGTCAGTTATAAAGGAGTCTATCTCCTGGGTCCCCTGCAGCTTTCACTGGTTTTTCCTGATGATGTCCACGTCACTGCACTTGCCTGCAGTGAAATGGAGGTCAGCAGGAGCAATCAGTGACATGTGTGGAAGACCATGGTGACCAACATTCCTAGATGTGTTGGTTTCTCTGTGGACTTCAATGGTCCAGTTCTCTAAAATGGAGCCACGTTCAGCGGCATGGGCCACATAAGAGATTTAATCTCTTCTTTCCAAGTAGGCCCTTTGCCGAAAAGTTTTTATAGTGTGACAGGCTTTGGCTGTCTGCTGTTCCTACATGTACAGAGATGCCCTTGCTGCTTATATTTTTAAAAGCTATTTTCTGAGAACTTCAGCACTGAAAAATCTCACATTAATTCTCACTTTCTCTGTAATATATATGAGGGGGCTAGGGAGCTGTGTTTGCCGTAATTACCCCTGTCTGTACTGTGCTTGGTGATTTCACTATCAGTTGTTCATTAGATGTGCAAGAGTCTGTACTAACAAAGGGGTAAAGACCTCAGAATGTGGGTGCTACATTGTTTGTTAATGCTTGACTCTTTCAGTATTGCCCTCCTGTATGTTCAAAGCAATAGAAATATTGATTGCATGTAATAATCTACTTTTTTGAAGTTGTGGATTTGGGGTTCTTGTGGTTTTCATGAGCTGTAAGCCATAATCATCACAAGTATGACAAATCACGGCTTGAATTATCTTGCTTTGCATGTAATGAGTCTACCTCATATATTAGTTTCACCTTTTAAGTTGCATTAGTGAAATAAATGAACTTTGCACGATATTCTAATTATTCGAGTTTCACCTGTATATATAAAAAATCAATACATTCATGTTTCAGTCAGTTATAAAGGAGTCTATCTCCTGGGTCCCCTGCAGCTTTCACTGGTTTTTCCTGATGATGTCCACGTCACTGCACTTGCCTGCAGTGAAATGGAGGTCAGCAGGAGCAATCAGTGACATGTGTGGAAGACCATGGTGACCAACATTCCTAGATGTGTTGGTTTCTCTGTGGACTTCAATGGTCCAGTTCTCTAAAATGGAGCCACGTTCAGCGGCATGGGCCACATAAGAGATTTAATCTCTTCTTTCCAAGTAGGCCCTTTGCCGAAAAGTTTTTATAGTGTGACAGGCTTTGGCTGTCTGCTGTTCCTACATGTACAGAGATGCCCTTGCTGCTTATATTTTTAAAAGCTATTTTCTGAGAACTTCAGCACTGAAAAATCTCACATTAATTCTCACTTTCTCTGTAATATATATGAGGGGGCTAGGGAGCTGTGTTTGCCGTAATTACCCCTGTCTGTACTGTGCTTGGTGATTTCACTATCAGTTGTTCATTAGATGTGCAAGAGTCTGTACTAACAAAGGGGTAAAGACCTCAGAATGTGGGTGCTACATTGTTTGTTAATGCTTGACTCTTTCAGTATTGCCCTCCTGTATGTTCAAAGCAATAGAAGTAGTCCGTAGAGTCCTATGTACAATGCTACTCTAAACAACTAACAAGAAATATATATACATTTTTTTATTATTATTTATTTATTTAGGTATGCTGTGTGAAAAAGAGCAGATACCAAACATTAAGTGCGGGGTTCTCAAATTTTACAGCAACAATGGAAATGCACTTTAAGCTGTGTTTACCTTTGCCATTGGTGTGCCAATAAGCACACCAATGAGCTCTTCTTTCTGGTTTTTACTCCAATTAAGAATTCTTCTTGCACTGCAGCACACCTAACTGGTGCTGCTTCTCCCTCCCTCTCTCTAAGCACTCCTGCACAGAATTTAGAGTAGACTGCAAGCTGCTGATACTAAGTCACATTTAGATACGTACACTTCCCACCTTTAAAAACGACAGTAAATTATGTTTTATTGCTTACATGGTTGTGTAATGTGTGCATAGTGCCTTTGTGACCGGGGACAGCTAAACATGTCCTCCTTCCCCTAGTTTCAGCTTTGTTAGTTGAGAGGGGTGCTGATGTCAGTGCTCAGCAGGGCCAGGACAGAAATCAGAATCTCATAACACACTGTGTGGAAAACTAAAAAAACCTGAACCCATTGGAAGATGTTATCTATTCATGTTCCAGGGACAACACCAAATTTAGGATTTTCTTTACTTACAGTCTCAGAAACAATGGTCATCAGGATGAACAGAGAGGATGAATCTCCCCAGTGGGGACACAGATAGTAATACAACTTGACAGGAGCACAAAACCATCAGAACTATATCCAAAACTACTAAAACATAGTAAAACATAGTAGTAATACCCACCTGGGTATTCTGCTATGCCAGGGCTGGACATATCCCTGGGGCCACACAGCCTAAGCTTTTTAAAAATTACAGCTGGTGACTAACTTTTTGAGGTTTTCTCTAGTTGTTGTAAGTAGAGCTGGTTCTGAATTCCAAATATATTTGTCCACACCTGCACTGTGCCATGCAAGAAATGTTGTCCAAATCAAAGCAAGCCATAACACCTAGCATTGCCCTAGGTAGCTTTGAAAAATTGTCGGTTGACATTCTTTAAACATACTTTAATAGCTGCAAATGACCTATAAAATTCATTAAATTCTGGACCCCAGATTGAGGACACCAATTAAATGATCCTGACTTATGCTGACATAAGCTTCTGATGATACCTGATTGAACAAGAGATAAAAGAGGACCAAAATATTACATGGTAAAGCATCTCTGCCAAATGTGTATAAATTATAAACATTTGTGTGATGACTAAATTAGAACTCGCACCACTGCACTGAAATTGACTGCAATTTTGAAGTGGGGGAAAAAAAGACTGGTCTGGGTTGCTACCCTGGCAAGCCTACATATTTAAAAATAGATGCAACTTCTTAGCAAAGTATATAGATCATTCAGATGCTATATACTGAAAACAAACAGCTGCCGAGTTTTACTTTATACTTTCATGACCTTAGCTAATCTGTGCTGCATCCAAATATACATGTATTCTTTTAGTATCTCTCCTTACCATCAAATGTTTAACTCCACTCAAATCTGAAGGAGATTCCTGCATACAAAAAGAAATACCTCTGTGAGTAGATTGTGTTCTGTAAGCATGGTTATCAGATGTATTACAAACATTCCAATAAAGCACATTCCATCGTTATCTAATATCCAGTCCCAAGAGTTACAGCTTAGTTAAAGAAAGGCAGGATTTAAGGGTCTCCTGTCCTAATGTTTACATTGATCTAGGATTTAGCAATAATATATGCAGGAGAATTAACAAAAAAGGAAAAAGGCATTTTATCTTGTCAAAAAAACAAAAAACAGCTGTTAAAATGACAATAAAATAACAATAAACTACAATACTTTATGTTAGAGTGGCACTTTCAATAGAATTCATACTTCCCATGAATCAATAGAGTACATATCACCATTACAAGATCACATTACTATTTTCAGTGAAAATTACACCTTGCTTGCTATGAATAAAATAATTGCTGAATTCAAGGTCTCACAAGTGAGACCATGTCCGTAAGTTTACGAACATCTCCGTAAGTTTAAAGTCGTGCGACCTTACAGTAGTAGAGGTCGCACGGCTTCCACACACCTTACGATCATCGTACGATCGCGGGATTTCCCGCGATTATCGTACGATAATCGTAAGGTGTGTGGGGACCCCTAGAACCATGAACCTGTTAGCAGTTATAAGTGCTACTAACAGCACCCACTGAACGGCATGTGGGCTGGTACTGGCATAGTAAAGGACTGCACATTCAACCCCCTCTTGTCTGGGTATACCAGCCCACATGTATGGCGTACTAGGTCCATTTACTATTATATAATACCTACTCATATATAAATTGATATAACATAAATAATTCCAGCTATTGTCATATGCAAAAACATAAATGTAGCACTTGAGACAGAAGGTCTCACTGTAAAATGCAACAATTTCTCAATTTAGTCTGACATATGTGCAGTAGCGGTGACACCTGCCAATAAGGCAAATAATAAAATAAGCATCATTATCCACTAAAGAACAGATGTATTTGACGTTCAGCAAATGTGACTTGACCACCTAGCAAATGTACAGGTTTAGGTGGCAAAGGTGCTTTATAAATGCAGGGAGTAAAGCCCTGGCAAATGTGGGGTCAGTGTCACATTGGCTGATTTTTAAATGAACCCCTATATTTTATCACTTAGCAGAACAATACAGATTTAGGGCTCGTTTACACCATGTGTGGTGACTAGAATATTTCAGCACCTGGCCAATGTCAGTCACTGCAGGGGTACAAAGAAAACAATTGTTTTCTATGTGTCTAGTTCACACAATACCGGTTTGCGGTATGGTGCAAAAAAAAAAAAAAAAGTACGTGCTTAATTTTTCGGCACCGCAATTAACCTCACGTCAGTGCAAGGAAAAGGTAAACAGTGCCTTGTGTTGTAACAATGCAAGGCAGCACCTGCCACTGCTGGGGACACCAGTCTGTATGCTAGAATGGGACATTTTAGCAGGGTGGTGTTAAGTAAAAACCGTAGAAATATCTTAATGTGTGCAATACAATTGCAATACATAAGTTGTTTGAAAGTATACCTAAAATCTCTCTGAAGCACGTAAACATACAATACAGACAGAAAATGTGCCATGTTTTGTTTACTACAATACAATTTTTTGTCTTTTCTTTTTCACCACAGTTATTTAACACCGATTCAGAAAAAGCTGTTCTTCTCACCTCTTTCTCATGCTCTTTGTGGAGGCAGTAGCTAGTGCTCAATACACATTCTGGACAGCATTTGCCCTCAAAATGGACTAATTCTTCACCCTGATAAAGAAAGGCAGATTCGTTTACTATAAAGCATGTACTGTTGCTGAGGTCATATTATTCACTGTGTAAACAGAGGCTAAATTGTGGAATGTAAAGATTTCACTTTATTCCTCTTAAGAAGAATTGTCTGAGGACTCTCCATGAAAAATGGGCAAACTCAGCACATTAGCACCGAGTCAATTCTCCACATACATAAAGGTTACTTTATGTAGCGTCAAACTGGTGACGGCTTCATAATAGGAAGGGGGAAAGAAAGCAGAGTATGTGCATGAATAAATCACAAATACAAGATCAGTGTACTTTGTTCATACTGGACAGGAAAGTTGTAAATATTATACACACACACACACACAAAGTACAGTCAATTTAACAGCTGTGATTCAACATTTTACACGGGGGAGTTCTGGGATTCCTACGGCAAGAACCTACGGGAATCCCAGGTGTCCCAGTTGCTTCCTGGTTGTCATAGTGAAGCCCAGCAGCATGCTTGGATAACCCTTAGGAGGCCCAGTGTTTTAGCAGGGTCACCTATAGACGTTGCTGCTTTTCCACTTGACAGGAGGAAATGTCATCATTGCAGGAAGGGTGGCAGCCAACGGCAACAGTTGCCACTAAAAAGGAACCGTGTGCCCCCATTCTAAACCTTCCCCACTCTATCCAAAACTAAAAAAGTAAAGTTTTGACTTTACATATACATAAATGGTAAAGAGAAAACTTAAAACCTTAAAAATTATAAATACGTTATAACTCCATAAAACAAAACACAAACTTAATGTGGGGAATTTATGAAAACTTGAGCAAACAGAATCTGGAGCAGTTGCCCATGGCAACCAATCAGCATCTTTCTTCAGTTTGCTCAGGTAAGGTTTGAAAGTGAGACAGATAATTTGATTCGCTGCAGTGCAAATCTGCTCCAGATTTTGTCAGCTCCAGTTTTGATAAATACCCCTCAATGTCTTTCCAAGTCTATGGGGTAAACACTTCTCCAATGAAGCCTAACATCTACTACAAAATGAAACACAACTTAAAGTAAACTTGTGCAATGCCAATGCTGCTTATACCTATCTTACCTTTGCTCCCCACTGCTTTATTCACCTGATGAAGCGCAGAGAACGAGTCCTGTGTAAGTTCAAAGTAGTGACTTAGGAACTACACAAGGCTAAAAACTCTCACTCCTTCTGCATGTGTGCCGAGTGCCTTAATGCCCAATTTCTAAGGCTGTTGAAGAGGAGTAAATCGCATGCTCTTCATATCCAGAAGAACTATGTATTTCTCTTCTCTCCAGGAAGCCAAATGGAGTGGTGGATGAGTGAAGGGAATGTAAGCATGAGCAGCTAGGGAAGGCAGAAATTATGTGAACCTGATGCCTTGACCTGCACTGGCTCAGATTAGGGTAAGAGATATAGCTAAATGTTATGGTTAGATAGGTTATAGGCCAGGGTCATTACATGGTGCTTAAACAGGCGGGCTATTATCTCTCTGCCCCCATGTGACACCACTTGGTACCTATGCAGGCAATCACCAAGAACCAAAACTTCCATGTGGGAGGAAAGAGAGTTAGTCGCATGATCCCTCATACCTGGTAGTATGTTAATTCACTTCACTAGCTGAAAAGCGTGGCAGGGGAACATAGGGAAGGCCAAGCATTAAAGTGAACTGTTGTTTTGCCCTACATGGGTTAGGCAGAGGTTCACTTTAAAGCAGATATAACATGTAAAAGTTTACATGTGATGAAAATGACACTGTAAAATAAGCACAATCCCAATGATTACATGCAGTCACCTAGTGATGCCTCCACATACTTGACCTTAAGTCTCTGCTGAAGCATTTTACTCTGCAAAGCCTCAAAACTTCCAAGTATTGCTACCTACCCCCTTTGCACTTCCCTACTGGCACATCCCTTATGAACGACTTCACTAATCAACAGAAAGAAGAGGGGGAGAGAGATTTGAAAGTTAGAGGACAGTGCTGGTGATCAAGTAAGTATAGGAGCCAGAGATTAATTTTTTCTAGCTACTGCTGAAGGATTAACCTTTTGATTTAAGGACCAAACTGGAATTTGGTTTTAAAATGAAACAAAAACAACAAAATCTCTGAGAGAGGTTCTACCTTTTCCCAATCTGTGCAAAAAGGGAAAAATGTTTGCTTCAAGTTCCACTCTTAATTTAATTTCTATGCCTGTTCACTGTCAGAATGTGTGTACGGACAAGGGTTTACAAATCCAGTTGATAAAAAGGCATTACAAAAATATCTGAAGCCTAAAAACCACACATCAAAAGCTACATTAAAATTGGACAGTCAACAGATGTAGAAAGGAGGTGATGTACTAAGCGCCTGCAGCAGATTACTCTTAGCAAAATGAGAATTGGGAGTAGAGTGGCAAGTACGGTGTTCTAAGTCATGAGATAGTGGAGGGACCTAAGCAGGACTCCTGTTTCATATGGCTTCTATAATCCACCTGAAGAATGCTTGGAGGAGGACTGGGAACAGAGCTACAGACATAAATAGGTACTGTTAATACACTCATATGAAATATGAGGGTAATAATGTAAATACTCAAGTCATTAATAAGATATTTCCCAGAGGGGGTGGATAAGCGTTGTAGTTTTTGTTTCGCCTTGATGATTTTTTCTCTTTCATTTTATGTATCTTCTTTGTTACATAAGAAAACTCAATAAAATGCTCACTTAAAAAAAGGTTGCAAAAGAGTCCATGTATTTCACAGGGAATACTAGGTCCCAATTCCATTTCAAAGCATCAAATTAGAACATAATGGCCAGGAACCAGCCTTCTATAATAGCCCAAACGCTCTTGTCATTTTCCTTTTACTTATAACTGAAGTTACATTTCAGTGATGAAAGGAAAGGCCATACATACCGGCAAAGATCTGTGAAAAAGCAACATGCGTATCTTAGAGTGGCAAAATGTAGGGCAGCATTAGCCTGCCATTTGTAATATTATGTAATGTTTCTTTCATAATTCTTAAGGAAGAAAATACTTCTCCACCTGTACAATGTACTTATTTATTTTTTATGGAACCTGGCACAAAAATCAGGTTACAATGTTCTTAAAGTTCATATAAACGATTTTGCTCCTTTTTAATGTGTAAAATATATGATTGAAAGGTTTTGTTAAATCCATGTGATTAGTGCATTCATTTAATTGTGCCAGAAATCCAGTGAGCTTGTCACTTTCTGTATTGAGATTCCTTTAGTGACTTCTGCAGTACCAAAATCCCAAAAAATGATATCAATCCTGCCCAGTTCACCTCTGTGAACTACAGAACACATCTCCCTATGTTATGAAGATGAAGAGGATGTGTTCTGTAATTCAAATTAGAAGTAAGCAGCCCAGGGTGACAACACTGTCCCTCCATAGGTCATCATCAGGTCAACAAGTGAACAAAAAGAAAAAGCTTGGAAAAAAAATGTGCACAGCCACCTCATAGAACATCTGGTAGGCTGCAATTATATGATTTTTTACTTACCGTTACATCCTTCTCTAGGAACACTTTACGGGGCACAGGATGAGAATTCCACTGGGTTATTCTGCTTCCTTCAGTATATTGGACACTGGCAAAACAAAGCTGTGATGACAGCCCAGTATAACCAGTCCCATTCCCAGCATGTCTCCGTTTATACTTGGCATTATTATTATTATACAGGATTTATATAGCGCCAACAGTTTGCGCAGCGCTTTAACATTATACTGGTTATACTGGGGTTACATACTGGGATTATACTTAGCTGCCATTACAGTTTGATTTTGCCAGTATTCAATCTCCTGAAGGAAAGTATAACCCAATGTACCTGAATACTCATCCTCTGTCACAATGTATGATTAAGAAATATAAAATGTTTGCTCTTGGGTTCTTTCAGGTTATGTGTGGATGGCACACAATAAATGTTTTGACCTACAATGTGCATGATTAAAATCATAGTTCACCTATCTCTCCACACCATTCTGCCCCATCACCTTTTCCAATCTGTTCAAGCCACACCATCTTTCAGAATTGGGATTGTCTCTCCTAAAGACTGTTGGAATGCCTTGCAGTTTCCATATTTGTCTGTTTGGTTGCTGTTGGATTATACAGATATTTATAATTTCGGACACTAAGGAGTGTCTATTCAGGTTCAAAACATGTTAAAGTTGTCCTGGAGTTGAACGCTTTCTGTATGTATGCATGTGCTATATACTGTATGTCAAGATGTTTATTTACCAATATATTGCAGAGTGTATTTCTGTATGTAATCATTATTTCTAAGAAAAAAAAATAAAATGCAAATATCAGAGTTACCAGTGACCACTCAAAGGTACTCTATCATTCAAACATGTAGCATATACAATTAAGATACTTAAGCAAAAGACAAGTAGAAATACATAACTTAAATCAAACCCACAACCAATGCTCCTTATAGCTTAAAACTATCAAAACAAGTAATATTCATAAATAGGAATATGAAGCCACTGAATGGTTGCACCACAATAAAGCTCTAAATGTATTATATTAACCACTTGCTGTCCGGGGCATTTTCTTACTATTTGCGCACACATGATAAAATATACATTTTTGGCTAGAAAACAGCTTCAAACCTCCAAACAATTATATATGTTCTGAAAGCACATTCCCTGTAGAATAAAAAAAATGCTACTTGCTTTTATTTTTTATGTTGCATGGTTTTTGCGCAAATGTTGATCAAACCAGTATTTTTAGGAAAAAATAAACTAAATTAAATTTAGTGCACAGAAACACAATATACTGTAATACCCAATTGTTTGGTAAAATATGAAAGACGGGGTCACGCAGGGTAAATAGATACAAAACATGTCAAGCCTTAAAATTGCGTTCGCCCGTGAAGCCGCAAAAAAAGTCAATACCCCAAATTTCCCATAGGGAGCATTTTAAACACTTTTACCGTTTATCAGTTTAGTGCTAACAGTGATTGATGGCCCTAGAATTATTGCTCTCACTCCGACGTTTGCGGCGATATGTAACA